CAGTGCCTTCCCCGCCCCCCCAGATTTTACACCCCCCAAAATTCCCCTCCCTGAACATGGCAAAATTCCCCCCCCCCCCCCAGCCTTTCATTGACTGAGGCTAGCGGCTTCGTAGTTGTGATTCTTTTCTATTTTTGTAACTTCTAAAGACATTTTTTTTTTGCATCAGTTAGCCTACTTTTCTTTCTTGCTAATAGATAAATAAAATGTTATTAGTGTAATGCAGAAAGAGAAGGTTTAAAGATTACTGTTGAGAAAAACCTTAAACAGACACCTACTGCTAATAAAATGAATCTGAAGACCTGTCATCTTCTAGCGTCCTACACATACGCTGTGCGTTCTCTTTTTAAAAAATGCAGTCCTACGAAGAAAGACTCTTCTGCTTTACCTCCAAATTATTATTTAGATCTACATTATCAGATAAATAGATCTGTGAGTAAGTAATTTGACATTGGATCCTGCCGATGGACCCTCCAGTTTAGGAATCAGGAGATAATCATCCACCTTGGGTTGCAAATAGCTGCTGTGCAGATTTTGATGAGTGTCAGGTACCTATTTGAATTCCCTCTAAACGCTAGTCTTGAAATTTGGGATATTTTCATTCTGGGCACAGAGGTTGTCCTCGGCTCCTGTTTTCTCTTGTTCACATACAATTTCCTGAATGTCTCTGACCCCTGAATATGTTGGGCCGCTGTATTAACATCCTTGCATTTATTCACCAGCAATTGCTCCGGGAGATGCAGCAGATGGCCAGCCGCCCCTTCGCTTCCATCAACGTTGCCTTAGAAACGGACGAAGAGCCACCTGATCTCATCGGAGGGAGCATTAAGGTGAGGGGTTGACCCATCGGAGGGCCGTTTCGGTAGTTAATATTTATAGACACTACGTTGCTTGACTGGATGTGAGGATGGGCAGCGTGGAGAGCAGCATTAGAAGTCCAGCCACAAAGAAGTCATCAACCTGTCAACTCCAGCAGGCCTGGTTTCTGATCTGATTTCCTCTCTCCAGGCTGCCCATTTGTATCTTTCAGGTTATGTTGTTCAATTAAAAAATTCCAGTTCTTCTTTTTAAGAAGATATATTTAATACCTTGTAGTCAAGGAGGACACAGTTTAATATAGCAGTACGGTTCATTAGAAAGAGCTGTAGATGCAGCTCTTCTATGTCAAGTCTTGGGGGACGGGGAGGGGAAGAAAGAGAAATCAGCTAAGTAATTTAGGCTATAGATGACTGGAGGAAAAGGTGATGCCTAGATGTGGGTGAAATCAGAACTCGTAACACAAGTCTGGTAAGAAGGGTAAAGGATCCTGGAGAAGCATCAGGGGAGGAAAGCGATCCCATTCTAGCCATGAGAAGGTAAGTGGCTTTCAGGTAGGTTGGTATCTGGCCTTTGAAGAAAAGAAGCAACTATGAGTGCTGAGCTGGGGAAAGGAAAGTGTCCATACAATTTTCCTGGTTTTCACTCTTCTGGTTGGATCTTCCATATCTGAAAGATGAATGCCATCATTGGTTAAGTTAAGGAACTGCTCTTCCATCAAGCTCTCAGTAACCTTGGGTCAGTGGCTGCCAATGCATCGTCTCTCTGTGTTTTGTCGCTGGAGATTGAGGAAAGCCTATTTTGGGGGTGCTTCAGGCCACATATTGTGTTTAAGCATCATGTCCTGCACTTGTCAATAATAGTTTTGGATGCCTAACCCATCCATAAGCCCCCTTGTGTTGCCCCAAAGGGCTGGGGAGTAGCTGTTCAGTCCCAGCTTGAAAAAGAAATCTCCACCCCTACCACCTGTTCACCTCCACCCTTCCCAGCCCCTCAGTCTTCAGGGTTGGGTGCTTCAGCCCTGTGACCGATCCAACCAGCCAAGAGCTAATCTCTGCTTTCCCAGTTCTATGAAGTCAAGGAGTGCTTGCAATGAATTATATGAGAAATCCTCAAAAGACGAGAAGAGGAGGAAGTCCAGATACTATTGTGGGAGTCAGCAGCATGGCCAGGAGAGCTAACTGTCCCTGCTGCTCTTGCTCCTGTACCTTAGGGAAGCAAGAGGTCCCATTGCACTTTCATCATCTATAATGAAGAGCAGGCCCTTGGCCCCATAGAAAAGCAAATCTTGCCCCTGGGGAGGCTGTGCAGCACCTTCAGGTTCAATCCCCAAAGGTGCTTTGGAGCACCCAGGGCCATGAGCACAGCATCTATCTGCAGCTCTTTAAAGCAGCTACATCTTTTTCCTAGAATCCTGAACAAGGCTGCAGGTGCTTTAAGGAGTTGCAGACAGGTGCTGTCTTGATGCCCTGGCATGCTTTAAAGCAGCATTTTTCAAACTTGGCAACATTAAGTTGTGTGGACTTCAACTCCCAGAATTCCCATGCTGGCTGGAGAATTCTGGGAGTTGAAGTCCACCCATCTTAACGCTGCCAAGGTTGAAAAACACTGCTGTAAAACATGTGTGTCTCCTAATTATGCTCAATTTTGCAGGGGGTGGAACTCAGAAGCAGGGCCCTTTGGGTCTAACCCAGTGCAGTGTGTGGGAGGGCAGAGTTTCTCAGGGGCCCCACCCTTGCCACCTTGGCCTCGCTGGCATGGTTCAGCTCCAGCCTTTCTGCTTGGCTTGCGCTACGTGCTGCTTGCGGCCGCCTTCTTCCTCTTGTTCCTTCTGGGGAATAACTTGACAAGCTGCTGCTGTTCCCCCCCCCCTGTTTTTTTTTCCCTTCCTGGACCAGGGAGATGTGAGACCCAGGCATATGTTCATAATTAATATGGAAGCAGGCAGACATTGTTCTGAATACGGAATCAGGCAAGGGAGTTTGCAACTCTACCTGCTTTTAAAATTATCCTCCAACTTTTTTTGTGGCATCTATGATTGAAGCTGAAGTGACACGACCACAGGGAGTGTGGAAATGGTTTGTCAGTCATGCCACAGTTTGGGAAGTGAAAATGAGCACAAAATGAGCCTCATTTGGAGCTGGCACGGCTGCCCCCCCACGTTCTTTCCTCTGCTCCGCTTATTTTATGGGTAACGTATTCCCTGAATAGGTACTCAGACAGCCATGTTACAAGTCAAGTGCACAGAGCCAAAGTGATTTAGTTTGTATTTGTTACATATTCTACAGAGGAGAGCGATACCTTTAGATCTCCTGGCTCAGCTACCAAAGTCCATTGTCTCTTGCACAACATTTTTCATCCACAATTTAGTTCTGGGTCGGAGGAAAGAATTAACATCATCATTCTATGAGATATTGTGTGAGGAACCTAACTGAAGGAGTGTTCTGGCATGTCTGGCACATGCTTGGAGTTTCTGGGTCCAAGAAGTTCATCTCACAGATTCATCTCATTTTATACAATTGTATATGTGAATGTCCCCATGAGTTTTCCAAGGTCTCAAGGTTACTTTTCCTTTGGCAAAGCCCTCCTAATGGTGTTTCTGGGCAACACAACCTGTTTGTTGGAAGGAAGAGCTTCACTTACAATCTCAGATCACAGGTAGTCCTTCCTTAACTACCACAATAGGGACTGGAAAATTCATCATTAAGGGAGGCGGTTGTTAAGCGAAACATCACGTGACCACACCTGATTTTACATTTTTTGTGGTTGTCGTTAAGCAAATCATACAGTTCTCCATTGATTTTGCTTGCTGGAAGCTGGCTGGGAAGGTTGCAAATGGTGATCATGTGATCCCGAGATGCTGCAACTGTTGTAAGTGTGAGGACTGGTTGTAAGTAGCTTTTTTTTAGTGCGTTGTAACTTCAGATGGTCACTAAATGAAGTTATTAAGCAAGGACTACCTGTAGTTTAGCCTTGGGAGCCTAACTGGCAAGGACAGTCATCACTTAAGTGTCAACCTGATCAGTGGGCTTGATGGTGTCCTGGAGGAGGGTTCATTGACATCATTCCCTTGATGCCATTTCTCCATGCACTGAAAAAGAGCTTGGTCTAATGCATGTCTTCTCTGAGTGGCTGAGAAGGGAAATGTTGGTGGTGTTGATGGTCAGATCAAGTTGTTCTACCTGTGAGTGGCAACTCAGTAAGGAAGATGACCTTGACAGAAATTAGTAGAACCTATTACTTAGGCAAAAGGGGCTGATACATGTTTTAAGTCCACAACAATGAGATAACATTTGGAAATGGCTCAGGTGCCTTCCCGATTCACTATAAGGAGGAGGATGAGGTCCAGCATCATCAGACTTGCAAGATTCTGTTATTGTAGCCAACCTCAGTAAAAGTAGTTTTAGCCTTTCTATGGAGTTAATTTCCTTGTTTAGTCTACCCAGTAGACTGTCCTCTCCCTTCCATCCCCAGTAGCAAGCCACTATTGACAGAACATGAGTTGGACAGCGTGATAAACACAGAATTTCTTAATCAAGTCTCATGTCTAGAAGTAAGGGATTAGGCTATATTATCTCAGAAGCTGAATACCTGCCTTCATTCACAAATGAATTGATTAAGGTTGGGTGTGTGTGATTGTGGAACCTCTTTTTCCCAAAATGCAAAACTGTCAGGCAGGCTGCCCTTTTCCCAGGTAGCCTTGGCACTGAAATGTCCATCTGTTCTTCGTTAGTGAAGTTTTGAAGCACTTTTTTCTCATAGCCTCCCTGAGTTCTCTTAGGTTGAGTATCAGCTAGAATATGGAGAGACTGAAGTCTTTCCCAAAGCCCGCAACTTGCTGCCTCTTCTTCAAAGTTTGCATTCTTGGCAAAATCCAGGATTAAGAAAGCAAGTGTTTATTAGATTTCAGATCCAGGACTATTTAGGAGATCTGCCAGAGATTTGTCTCCTTCTAGGGACTGAGATTTCAGAAGGATTTCAAAATCTCCAAGGTTCCCAATTTATCTTTGTAAGCCCCATCCTTCAAACTGATGAAGGGCTAGCATCAGATTTGGTGGGTCTTGGTCAGTTCAGGGGGCAGCCATCCAAGGCCTTCTCCATAATTGTCAGATTGACTTATTTGTTGTTTTTTGCTCATCTGGCCAACCCTCTGCTTCTCTATGCTGCTCTGCTCTTTCTTCCTACCCATCAGGCTTTAGACCCTGCCCAGACCACTGTCCTACATGCCCAGTAGTTTCCTACAAGTTGACCATAACCGTGTGTGCCAACCTCCCACGAGCATTAGCTCTTGATTGCTTGGCTGATCAGTGGCCTGTGCAGCGGTGGGGAATAGATTATTTTTATCAGCCAAGGTTGTCCATTTCCTTTTGCACTTGGTCTGTAGAGAGCCACGGAGATGATCTTGGAGAAACTAGGCAGAGACGGTTACCAAGAGAGCCAGAACTTTTGGAATAATGTCTTAGTGAGCCACCAGGTTCGAAGGGCTGTGTCTGCTCTGGTGTCTTTTCAGCTCTCGTTTGGCAGCCATGTTGATCAGCAGGAGAAGCACCCACCTCTCTGTGGCTTCAGGTGGAATGAGCAAACTTTAAACCTTATCCATAGGTTTAATCCTTAGTAACCTTTGAAATACAAAGGTTTGCTGGCTTCTCTGCCCTTGGAAATCAGATGGGAAGCTCATCTTTCTTTATCCAGTTATTTCAAGAAGAATTCTCCTTTGCATTTGGAGGCGATGTTGTAGCATTTGAAGGACATTTTGTGGCTACCGATGGCCAGCTTTGGACCTGAGATTATTGAAGGTGCAAAGTACTTCTCATTATGCCTTTTCTTCATCTCCCCTCCGTTCTCCTCTATCTCAGTTAGCAACCTGCGAAAAGCAGTCGTTGAGTTGGAGAAACGAATAGCACGTGTCCACTACCGTCTCTCTAAGGTCCCCTTGTAATTTCAGAGCTGGAAGTAACCAAGCAGCCATTTAATATGGGAACCGGAGGCTGTAAGGATTAGTCGCTGTTAGATACAATACGGCAGTTACCCCCTAGGATCCTGGGACAAAGAATCATTTCTGCAGGGAGGAGGGGAACTTGTTTTAAAGGACTTAAAAAGCAAGGCTCCTGCAGCTCTCATTGCCTCTTAAATTTTGCAAGCAGGAAAGCAGCATCATAATCAGCCGATCGCACTGCAGGGCCGTGCGAACCCAGGTCCCAGTTTGGAACTGTCGTCGGAGCAGAACCTTTTGAAGTGGTTGGGTCCAATTCGACTTCCTGCACTCACCGCGCATCCTCTCCATTTGAAACGTCAAGACCAAATTCCCCCCTTTCCAAAACCTCAAAAGGCCAAGGGTGCTAATTTCCTGGTTGCGAGGGCTGCACGTTATATTTAGTATGCAGGTGCACACGAGGAAACGTGGGTTGGCTGCTTTGGAGTTGCCTTCCCCGTGCAGCTTCTGCTGGCTTTGTAGGGCCTAGCAAGAAATACTTTGCCTTTTGAACGCCAGGAGTTGGAAATTGTGCAGGGAGTTGAGGCAGGCAAAACAGATTAGCCCCGCTAAAATTTCACTGTATTTTGAGACGCTGGGCGACCTCAGGAACAGCAGAAGGAAATAACCCCTTTCTGATTAATGGATTGCTTTTAGGTAGCATAAGAGGGCATAGGATTAGCGTTTGCTTTCTTAAAAAAAATTAAAAAGCAACACACCAACCACTGTGGGTGGCAGCAGCAATGGGAAGGTGGGGAGAATGGCTGTTTCTGCAGAACTGCCAAAGATGCCTTCAGCTCTGATACTTTGAAGCTCAGAGACGTGGTGGGGTTGAGATGGGGCTTGGCTTTTATCCTCAGGCTTTTGAAGAGTTGAATTGAGTTTTATAGGAAGAGATGGAAGTGTTTAATGACATAATCTCATAATTTATTCCAATCTCTTTTGGCTATCTATGAAACTAGTACCGAGAAACTCAACAGCAGATGTGTACAGCTGGCAATCTCCCTGCAACCCACCCCTTTTCTTTGGAATAATCCCTTTTTAATTAAAGAAGGTTGCTTCAAGAGGTCTTGAATGGAGGACACGTGTTATCCAGAAGAACTCCTGCGAAATTTCTGTTGAAATGAGTGGGAGGCGATGAGTCGGTCTGTGACAGCCTTCCTGGCCCTTCAGGTGTGTCGGATCTGTAAATTCACAAATTCCCCAGTCAACGTGTGCTGGGCAATCTGGGACTGGTGGACCAAGCCCATCTGGAGAACTTGAGAACTTGGCTCCTGGAGCCAAATCTGAATCTAGGAAGAAAGGGAGGGGGAGAGTAGATTGGAACACCCCCATTCCAATCTGTGGGATTGGATCTTAGATAACATTTTCAAGGGATTTCTAAGACCAGTTAGTCAAGACCAAATGAGGCTTGGGTATTGAATCCCACTGTGTCTGCTTTTTTAATTTTAGTTCCTTGACTTTTGACTTACCCTGGAGCAAAATCTCTCAGGCACGAGACTGGATCTGTACACACGTAAAATGAAAGCAGAGCAAATCTGATGAGAATGGATAGAAAATGAGAACAAGCATTAATATTACATTTTAGTATCCCTGGAGATAAAACCACCTTTAAAGCACAGCATATAACGGTATAAAAGGACTGAAACCATCAAAGGGTTTCACTGGCATCCAGAAAGGAAACATCAGTGAAGGTGCCTAGAAGACCTCCTAGAAGTGCTTATTTCTCACTTGGGGCGACCACCGAAAAGTCTTGCTCATAATGAATTCCAGGGAAGCTGTTTTTAAGTTATTTATAACTTTATCACAGGGTGGATTTATTGTGGATCGTGGTAGATGTTTGTCCCTTGTTTTCCCTGCAGTTACTGATCTAATAGTAGTATTATCTTAAAAAAATGTCCTTGCCCATCACCAGTTGTCAAAGGCTTTTAAAATTATTTCACGTACAATCCAGCAATACTGGATGTTTGTACCATTTCTATGCATATGTTTATGTTTCTCTAGGCACGTGGTGAGTTTATGATTGCATCCAGATGTCAACACTCTCCGGAGGAATATGACAATAAAGTGATAAAGCGGAGTTCTCTGGTGCCCTGAAAGAGGGGCTGAAGCCAGATGAGGGTGCCTGAAAGCTGGTCTGAGGGTAGCTCAGAATTGTAGAGGGGATCCTAACAGTCCGGCAGCCCCCTGAGCCGGGGAAGCGAGATTGCTCTGTGTTTCGAAATGTCAGGTGCTCCCTTAAGAGAAGCAATAATTGGAATAGTGATCTGAAAGACGGACAGAGGAAGCGGAGGTCCAGCGTGCCTTCACCTTTGCAAGAGGGCTCCACGCATTCATAAATTATCTAGAGCAGTGCTTCTCAATCTTGGCCCCTTGAAGACGTGTGGACTTCAACTCCCAGAATTCCCCAGCCAGCATGGCTGGCTGGGGAATTCTGGGAGTTGAAGTCCACACGTCTTCAAGGGGCCAAGGATGAGAAACCCTGGCCTAGAGATTAGAAAGAAGCTCATAGCTTAAATAAAAGTTGGGATGCGTTTAAAAAAATCTGGAAAGGTCCATCTTCCTCAATTGCTTGATTTTTTTCTGTGCTACAAGAAGCACAATGGAATCCAACTTAGAAACAAGCGAGGGCTTCAGATGAGTTTCTGACTTGCAAGTTTGCGCTGACTGGCCGTTCGCCGCTGCTGTTCTCGGGAGACCAAAATACCAATTAAAATATAACAAGGAAGAAGATCAGGAGCTTACAGGTGCAATGCCCCGTTGCTCGAACCTCTTGGTTCCTCTCTCCTACCTCTTTTGTTGCCTGGGAGCTCTGTGATCCCTTTGATTGAAAATACCTGAAAAATGGCGTGGGGCTGAAGCAGTGCTGGACCAAGAGGCTTAGCATCAGTTGAGGGCTGTCTCAGGAAATCTCCCACCTCAACCCCAAGTAATCCTTTATTTAAAAAAAAGTGGCCGCCACTCCACGTTGAATATAATGGAAACGTGAAGCTCAGCACATCCACTCGGCCTCCTGTCACGGAAGATCATTCTATTCCAGCCAATGTTCCTCCGCTTTTCCTCCTCGTCCCCCTACCACCCTCCCCTCCTCTTTTGAAAATGCAGCTGAAGATCCCTGCCAGAGACGGGCATCTGTGTATATCTGTGTCGGTTCTATTGGCAAACTGGAAGCCGCTGCAGACAACGTATTACTTGGGGATACCCAGCGCTGCATCCATTAGTTCTTGTAATTGAGTTCTAGCACAAAATACTGTGCGGGTTTGTTCTCTGCTGCTCCCTTTGTAAGAAAAGAATTATTTTGAACTTTAGCAACTCTACAGGGAGTAGACGTGCTAAGACACAGGCTGTTAAAAATACCAGCCTCTCTATTGTAAGGCAGTAAAATACTTTTGAAGCAACTAATTCATCAGGGTCTGTCTTCTCCATTTAATGCTGGAGACATGTAAAAACACTTTTCCTGTCTTGTTTGTTAGGCATTAGTTAATGTTATGGCGACTCTGGTTCTTCTTTGTTTTCTCTTAGCAACTCTAGCTGGAGCATTTGTTCTGTAAGCAGTTGCGCCATTGGGTCACACCTAATGAAATAAGCAATAATTGCTTTATTTAGGGCAGTGTGGAAAAGAACTAGTTTGAAGCTACAAGAGACAGAAAACTGCCACCCGTAGAGCGTGGCCTACATCTGTCTGTCTGTCTATCCATCCCTCTCTTGAAAGGAGGTCTCCATTAGTTGCCTTGCCTTACTAAAGATTTGGGGAACAAGATTGTTTTGTTCTTTGTACTAAAAGCGTGCTGCTCTTTTTAATAGATATTGAAGCATAGCACCATATTATCTTTTTCGATTTAATTACATGCCCCATTAAAGTGAGCTGCTATTTATCAAAATGAAATATAGCTGGGAATACGTAATGCTTCCTTTCCATCCCTCTTCCACCACGGGGTCTCGCTCGAGTCCCACTTGGGGCAAATTAAAAATGCCTTGGAAAGTTCCACAAAAGAGCTGGCGCCGCAGAGCAGAGAGGGACAGTTGGGTTGACAGCTCAGACTCTGGAAGACCAGACTAAGCTTTGTATGTATAAGGAGCTCCAGAGGCTGAATCAAAAAATAGGATCTGTATTGCCCCCTGCCAACTTTGTTCAGTGATTGCAGTTCCGCGTGGGCAAGGGTGTCTCATAGTCCTGCTACTGGAACTGGTCAAAAGTGGGAAAGGTGTGGGATTGGGCCAAGAATGCCAGTAGCTCCTTCATGGACCAGTAGACCTGTCTGTTGTGCAATGGGAGAAGCCAAGTGGTGGGAAATGAAATCTGCTCCTTATATCTAGGAGGCTTCTCTTGTAGCCAGCCCCATTTGCCAGCTCTTGAGCAGAGGAGTGCCAACACGACTCTCATTCTTGTGCCTCTGTTGAGAATCCGCCACATGGGAACCTGAAGCCCTGAGCTTGCCTCACAGTTAACAGCTGATGGGAGAATGGCCTCGGGGAAATCCATCCCACATTTTGTACGGTGGGAGGACCTGTGGACGCAGCCTGTTCTTTTCTGATTCTTTAAAGAAGCCGCCCTTGCTGTAGTCAGTTGGAACTGTACCTGTCTATCGCCCTTGTAGACTGAAGACTAAATCTCCTGTGTGGGGAAAAAGTTAGGAGATGGCAACTCGATTCTCTTTCACCTATTCTCTTCCTTTCTCTATTGCAGATGGTGCCCAAGCCCATTGCTCTGGAGCCCTGTTTTGGCAACAAAGCTGCTGTTCTTTCAGTATTTGTGAGATTGCCAAGAGGCCTAGGTGGGATTCCGCCACCTGGGCAATCAGGTAAGTCATCAGGGTCCACCTACAACAATGTAACATGGCCCTTTGGCTTCCCTTTCTCAAGGGCCCTTGGAACATTGCTGATTCTTGACCCAGGATCTCCTGTTTATGTCCATCTGTGCATCTACATTACCTGTGCTTGAGAATCATCCTGTTAGCTGGAGATGGACACTCTGACGTATGCGATGAGTGCTGTTGGTTATCTCTTGGTTTAGAAACCCAAATAATGAGGGTGATGTCATAGGTGTCAGCTTTGATATAAAAGTTCTTTTTATGGAGATGTTTTCCTACATCCTGCTGTGACTTGTTTATTGTACTTTTTAAACAACTTCTAATAGTACTGTGCATAGATGTTCATAAGCATCTGCTTAAATATGGCCATGCCCAGCACCTGAACAAAACCAGTCCAGGACGTCCACCCAGGTGATTTGTTACCGCTCATATATTTTGAGGGCCCTGCAAAAACTACTTCTTAAGTAGCAATTCATGCCAACTTCCTAGTCTGGTCTGAGAAATTAACCGAGTCCAGCTCAGAGTTGGGCAAGTAGAAGGTTCAATTCTTCAGGGCTTCTGAGTTTTCTGCATAGAACTGTGAATGGACACTCTTTATCAGGACTACATTCTCCTTGAATTCCCCACCTCAAGAATGTCTGTCACTGTATAAGTTATTTCTCTGATGTAGAGGATAGTGCCACTGTGCTGGTCTGGAGGCAATGCTGTGTTTTTCCAGGAGTCTTCTGCTCCTGGACAGATGATGGCCCCATCTTCTCTCCTGAAAGCAGAGACCAAATGCGTCCAGCAGGAAAAGGAAACTGGGCCAAGGGAACAGAGCAGGAAGAAACTCCTACAGTGTGTAGCTGGTCTGTAACCCTGTGTGTGTGTCTGTGTGTGTTCTTCTTGGTCCAGGTCTTGCAGTCGCCAGCGCCTTGGTGGACATTTCACAACAAATGCCTATTGCCTACAAAGACAAGTCAGGAGCGGTACGAAATAGGAAACAGCAGCCTCCAGCTCAGCCAGGAACCTGTATTTGATGCATGGACATCAGAACTGCCTCTTTAGGGTTTTAAACACAAGGGATTCCCTGGGAGAAGGACCTACGTTTTGCAAGGTTCATGGTGCGAAGGAGGCCTGAAAGCGCCTGAGAACATCCAGACCTTCCTCTTGACATGGGCGTTGCCTCGGTTGGCTTAGTGTGGCATCTGCTCCATCTTGGATCTGCCGATCCCGTTGTGCCGAAGGGCTCCACGTTTTCGGTTGCTCCCCCCTCATCGGTTTTAGGCCTTTTGTGGCATGTCCATTAGCAAACTTCTCCACCCCAAAAGTTGGCATTAACAGGGAAGAGCCATATGAAGACTGGTTCACATGGAAAGCGCTTTATGGAATTGCCTTTTCCTCCAGGTTGTAAAGGAAAGAATGCAGCCGGTACTGGCAATTCTCTGCCCTCAGCTGCTAAACTCCAAGATTTAAGAAGAAGCTAGCTTAACCTCCCCAGGAACCCCATGATCCAAGCCTTCTATTTATTTCTCCTTCCAAGCTCTCTTCCAAGAACATACCTTGGGTTGCGTTTATGTGGTAGCTTTATTTTTGTCCAAGTAAAGGTATTAAAGTTTGGGATGGAGCAGAGTATGGTTGAACACTACCCATTATTTCACTTAAAAATCCTTTTTCTGGAGGATATTTTTTCCCACGGTAGGTCTGTGTAGCAATGGACATCTGTACCCACATCCTAGAGTTCTGAATTGATCTAGGAAGCGCGGGAATTAGCGCAGTGAGGTTTTTACATGGTCTGTATTCTTCCTCCACCCTGGGCAACCCATGTCCTTTTTAACTTAACACGAACTGGTTTCAGGGTGAGAGGACAACAGTGATGCGCAAGGGAAGGACTGTGATGCCAGAGCAGAGCTGTTGGCTGATGGCCTGTGAATGTGTCCTCTTCACAGCAGCAGATGCATTGACTTTTCCTCTCTCAGGAGTCCTGTAGATGCTTCTCTTTTGTTGCTTTGCTCAAGGGAAGGGCTGGTTTTTACCTTACAGAGGGAGGATGTTCGCTCTGAAATGGCTCCTGTTGGTCTGAAAGCCCCTGGTGGCTCTTTCCAGCCCCCCAGCCCGCCCACCCCAATGCATCCAGAATGACATGCTTGAGAACAGTGTAGGCACTTGGTAATGGCCCCAAGGAAGGGCTAGCAGTTGGGGTGCAGCTCAGCTTCCTGACCTGCACCTCAAGGAGTACCGACACTACTCCCCAGTCGCTAAAGGGGTCTTCAGCCCCTTTTTGATTATCCAAGCGTGGCTGCCCTTAGAAACTAGACCACCTCCCTTTCGCTTCCGTTCACCAGCCCTGGGACAGGGTCATTCTTTCATATTGCAGGCAGAAATCAGTCAATAAGAGGGCATGATTTGCCAAGAACCATACAAGCAAGAGACTCCGGGAGCAAGAAACATTGGTTCTGGGCTTGCTCTGAACCCCGGTTGAGCAGCGGTTGAAGAGCCGGGTTACGTTTGAAAGGGCTGGGACTCCGTTTTCCTCGCTGTTACCCTTGCTGAAGTTCTCCTCGAAGGCCACTCGGAGGTGTGTTTGGAAGAGAGCAGTAGAGCTTCCAAAACGGGGTGGGAGAGGCTGCCCTCCGCCCCATCACTGTGGCATTACTTCCACTCCAGCAGCCGCTGACACTACACAAACTGAAGAGATACTTGTGAATCACACAGGCAGCTGTGAGCAAACATCGGTGTCCCTCTTGCTGCAACGGCATGCTTGTGCCAAGGTCTCTTTCTCACCATGCATGCATGCAAACACGCACACCGTTAGGACCGGTTATCTGCTCTTGTGCTTCATTGAACTCTGCAGCAGTCATGGTCTGCCGCAGGCTGCGTAGAAGAGCGACACAGAATTGACCGTATCGAGACGCGGGGGATCGCTCAGCAGTGGCAAGTCTTGTGGGCCTCCCCTTGAGGTTAATCCCATCTTCCTGCCCTTCCCAAATGCAGTAACATATAATAGTTTTGTTTTGTTTAAAATGGGCAATTTTGGCATGAGGAGGGGGAGACAAAAGAATTCTTGGGCTTTCACTGGAACCAAATCATTTACATCTCCTAATGTGTGAATGACCAAACGCTTTCTTAGTTTGGATCAACAGGCCAGAAGTATCGCAATTTTTGCATATTGCTGAATCTGTATGTACTGAATCTTGCAGAACTGGAACAAATGTATAATTAAAAAAGCATCTCTTGGTACCCCCCTCCCTTTTCTCCCCCCTAAAGCTGTGAATGAACTGAATTGTCCTTGGAAAGCAAAAGAGAAGTGGGGAGAGAGAATCCATCTGAATGGCTGACTGGCTAATATGAACCAGGGTTGTCCAATTCTGCTCAGTCTCTTAGCGTGAACCAGTTTGCTACCTCCTGGGCCACTGGTCCTTCCAGGAATACAAATCGAAGGTTCCTAGAAGAGCTGTCCAAATGCCCCTTGCGCCAGCCGTATTACTTTTATTTGCACACTGAGGGTGGGAAATCATCAGATTTCCTTTGGTCCTCTCCTTGAATTTGGGCAGAGTGGAAAAATCCAGCCTCAGGCAGCACTGACTTTGGACCGTCCAAAGTGGTGCAACTTCTCTTCCTTTGCTAAAAAAAAAAAAAGCGGGGGGTGGGGGGAGAGAAGACAATATTAATCCAAACAGACTTGATATAGAGCCAGAAACATGGAAAGTTCAACTTTCTCCTCAGTTCAGAGAACCTTGGGTGCTGCATCTGCTCGGTCCAGAGCAGAATTGTCTCAGTGGTTCAGAAGGAACCTGGCCTAGGTACCATTTCATTAGATCGACCCCTGCCCCCAAAGCTTAGCCAGGTTAAGTTGCCAGCTTAGTTGGAAGGAAGGCATTGGCCAAGCCAGCGAAGTTCTCCTGTTGAGTCAGCACCTCCCCTCCCCTTTCCTCTTTGGGGTTTCTGGGAGAGGTAAAACGTGACACAAAGGTGCCTTTCCTAAACTTACAAGAATTTCTGTTGGTTTAGAAAAAAAAAATGCAGGGAGCGTAACGCTGCATTGGCGTTTGTAACAAAAAGCTTAGACGGCAGTGTGGAAGATGTCAAGAGGGTTACTGTGCTCAAAATGGAAAGAGAATGTAATGTACCTCTGGATTCTCTCATAGCTACAGATGAGTTTTGTCGCTAGCAACTTGTGCCTAGGCTAGCAGAAAGCTGCACAGCTTTTAAGCTGTCAGCCTATTTAAGCACCTGATAATCTGTGCTGTGAAAAAGAGAAGGCGTATTCCTTTTTAACAGGGTGTCCATCAGGAGGAGTTTTTGCCCGATCTGTCCATCCTGAATTCAGCAGGATCCACACATCGGCAGCACCTTAAAATGCCTCCTCTTCCTCCCCTGTGTTTGCAGCAGTATTGGGTCAACGGAGTTGGAAAATGCACCCAACAAGGGTTTGGGGAGCTGAATTTCAGAGGGTTGGAACAGCTGCATTTGCACGCCTCTGCAGGAACTCCTTGTTTAAACCTAAAAGACTGCAGGTCTGTGCACATCTTACCTGTTTCAATTCTCCGTTCAGTTTCTCTTAATTGCACATTTAAATTTTGGGTGCCTTGCAGTCAGTTATCATACAATTATTGATTAGTTTGGGTTAGTAGTTTGTTTGCTAGACAGAGAGCGTGCCTGGCCATGCCGCTCGCACATCTAGCCCAACTTCCACTGACTGGACGGTGTCTGAAATTCCCTCTCCCCCTCCTGAATCTTCTCCATGAATTATGTGTATCTCAGGGTGGTGAATTGCAAAGACTCAAGGAACGACAGGCTGTGAAAATGCCTCTTGACAGCTGCGCTCTTCCTTCCAGCTACCATACCCGCTGCATTTAAAAGAAACGCCACCCCCTCCCCAAGATTGTTGGTGGGTAAGAATATATTCACTTGATTTCCAGTGTACTTTTAACATTACTGTCGGAAATGAGCTTTGATGAAATGCATGCTTAGTAAAGGAACTCAGGTGGAAAAGATAACTCCTTGGGCCAGGATAGAAAAGAGAGGCATGGCAAGGTAGGAATGGATTTTGGTATCTGCCATGATGCCAAAGGAGTCTGCAGCAACTTGCCAGCCTCTTCTCTGAATCCCTGCACATTGGCAATCTGAGAATACTTTGGATTTACCCTTACAAGCATGCAAGCAGGACAGCCCAGTGTGTCCCATAGTGGGCAAGGCCACCAAATTCAACTCTTTTCCTGTAGGCCGAGCATTGGGGAGTCTAAGGCAACATGGACAGCTTAACCCTTGCAAAAGCTTAAGATGCCCTTACAAACCTGACCTGCTTAGACTTGATCCACTCTTGGCCCTGGCCCTGGCCCTGGCCCTGGCCCTGGCCCTGGCCCTACCCACTTTGGGGACGGAGGCCTGCAAAGCCCAGGGTGGTCCTGGGGCTGACGGCTATTGGGCATCCCTGTCTGAGAGGATTGGTGGGAAGGATTACTCAGAGAATCCAGTCAGCTGTTCAAATACCCCACAGCCTTCCCCACGCTGGTGTGCCCTGGACATGTTTGGTGTCAGCTCTCATTATCCCCAAGCGTGATGGGAGAGGGAGTCCCTCTGCCTTGGAGGCTGTCAAGGCTTGCTTAGAAAAAGCTATCATCATCTCTCCACCCAACCTTGGTGCAGGGGCTTTGGTCGAAAAGAAACAATGCTTGAGAGTACTTTATATGAACCTGTTTTCTCCACCCTGTCTTGTAATCTTGAGTTGACTCCACTCTTCCCTTTCTTCCAGCTTTGCTAATCTCCCAGCCACTTGGTTCATTGGGCTTTCTAACTGGAAATTAGATTGGTAGCTCAATATCACCATTCCAGATACTGGAATCACCAGAGAGGAGTCCAATGTCCCCGTAGCAATTGTGGCTGTGTCCACTTCACTTTCGTTTTGTAGGAATGGCAATGGTGGATGCTCTGATTATAGGAAGACGCCTTCATGCCCAGATCCGCACCTTCTGGCAGTTCACTAAGGCCCTTGGAAGCGGTGAGGTTTCGCTTTGCGTTTTTAAGCCAAGTGCCCGCTTCTTCCAAGAGTAGATGGCTGTCCTCCAGGGACACTGGAGTTTGAACACAAGATCTGAGTTTGCAGGAGGGGGAAGCCTGGAGTGCATCATCTTTTCCTCTGCCAGAAGTGGCAGTGTTCAGCTGAGCAGCAGGAGCAGTCCCCAAGCCTTGCGCTCGCAGGCATGGTGTCCAAAGACAATTCTTGGGAAGGAGAGAAGAGCTACGGCTTTTGATGTCGCCTCCAACGTGCTCTGTTCCAGATGTGTTGGAACAGAAACCTCACCACCCCCAGAGAAGCACAGTCTTCAGCCCTACTAGTTTAGGGGTGATGAAAATTGCGTTCTGGTAGGTTGGGGAGGGTGCCAAACTGGGAAAGATGGTGCAGTACGTGATGGCATCAGCTTAGTCATATGTCGGGACAGCTGGCATTAAATTCAGGAGGAATTTGCAGCGTGCTTAACGGTGGAACTCCTGTCCCCCACAGTTTCCCTAAGCAGCTTTGTTCTTCTAGTCTGTATCTTCCGGATTGCAGAACGTTTGTGCCTGATCAGTCCACACTAGAAATCTGCTTCGAAATAGCCCAATTCACATGGGGTCGTGGAAAGTAAAAGAAAGTGGGCCCTTTAAATGAAAAAGAAATGCTTTCTTTTACTCCGAAAATTTGTGCATAAGTCTGCTTTCTTTCGGGCTCCTGAATTTTTTTTCCCTTTTGAATGTTTTCCTCTTCCCCTGCAACTCTTTTACTATTCTCCTGTGTTTTGGATCTGGGCTTTGTTTTGTTCATATGTATAATTTAGTCCTTACTGCATTCATATGTAAATAACAAGTATTGTAAAGAATTTTATTGCTGGGAGTGGTATAAAAACACATATTTTAGGGCTGCTGTTTTGTTTTTTTTCCCCCTTTTTTGGATATTTTTTTGTATTGTAAAAAAATAAGTTAATTTAAAAGCAGAAAAGAGGTGATGAGAACATGCATTTTAAAACACCAATGTGAAGTAATGTGTCTATAAATAGAAATAAAGAATGAAACTTTCCCCCCTTTCTGGAATTAAAAAGTAGAAATTCTGGTTTAAAAACTTGAGTGTGTAGTTTTTTATGTGAATTTTAATTTGAAACCGATCTCAAATCTGGGCCCTTTTTCACACGTGCTTTGTAAGTGTGTGCCTGGGTTATACTGCAGGAGACTGGTTGTGAAAACAGCACTTCCTCTGGTCTCTTAGAACTTACCTGAGATTTTCCCTAATTTTATTCCAACCACAACCGTGCGTGGTAGGTTGAGCCCAGAGAACAGCGCCCAATCACCCAGTGATCTGGGTGATCCATTGGGTCACTTAACTGGATTACTGGAATGGAGTTAATGTATTGTGCCAACATTACCAAGGGCTCAGCTGACCCAGCCAAGCCACCCGCCGGGGGTTAAATTCAGACCTGAACAAGGTCCATCTCCAGTGTGGTGAGATGGTTTGGAATGAAGGAGGCCCACTGGGTTGAGCCTCCTTCATTCCAAACCATCTCACCACATTCAGATAGGCGCTTGAAGGCAAGTTCCTTGCCTTGAACTTTGGCAATGGAATAGGGATCATATCTTGCCAGTTTGGTTCAGAACCAGCTATTCTTCTTCTTCTTCTAGAACAGGTGCCAGGCCGCTCAACCTCTGGTGGGACGTGGTGGACAACGTGCTTAGGACAAACGGGTGATGCCTCCAAAGCTCCGGAGATTAACACAAGGCACCTCCAGAAGCTGCCTCTGAACGTGTTAGTCCAACTGCTCCTGCCGGCTGATGCCCAATGGGGGGAGATGGGCGGGGGACAAATTTAATAAATAAATAGATAAATAAATCTTTCCCCATCCTTTCTCTGCTCAGGAAGTGGTTGCCCGATTTAGAAAAATGCCTGCCACTGCATTTCGAATGATGCATTTAGCCCTGGTACTGAGCTGAACGATTCTCCTTGTCCCTTTTTCTTTTTTTCCTCACCATGCCTTCAAGATTTAATTCTTTAAAAAAGCCAGTCATTAATAAATCATAGCAAGGGAGAGAGGATGAGAAGTAAAACACGGTCTCGCCGCTCTTTGCAGACTGTCTGTGTCTGGCTCAGTAAATCTCCCTTGGATTTCTTTCGTTCCAGAAAGGACGTCGTCTTTTGCACATGTGGGTATCTTGGTCTGATAAAAGTTCCCACGCAAAGGATCGTGGAGTTGCTGTCGATCAGGAGCCTGTCTAGAAGCATTGTGGGGCAGCTGCTAAAAATGCAAATGCTATTTTAGGCAGCATCAATAGAAAGAGGTTTCCACAATCAGGGAGGCCCTCGTTGCGTTCTGTTTTCTGCTGGCCAGCCTGATGTCCAGTTCTGGGCATCAATCTTTAAGAAGAATTCAGAAGACCATAACATGTTCAGAAAAGGGCAGCCGGATTATTGGGGGCCTGGAAACTAGGACCTCTCAGATAGAGGGATCTGGGTATGTTTAGCTTACAGCAGTGTTTCTCAACCCTGGCCACTTTATGATGTGTGGACTTCGACTCCCAGAATTCCCCAGCCAGCCATGCTGG